AAAAGATCCCGCGTGCTGCAACTAAGACCCAGCGCAGCCAAATAAAAATAAATAAAAAAACAAGAATTATCTGATAATATCCTAAAGATAAGGATCTGATAAGGTTCTAAAGAACATGCTTTGAGAAACACTGCTTTAAGGGCTAAAAAAGACACTGGGCTAGGCTCAGAGATGTGAATATTTATTTTTCTCTATTCACAAGGCTGAAAACAGTTTTTCCATTACCTCCAGAAATGAACAGATGTTTTTTCTCACTAACTGTTTACTCTCATGGACAACCACCCCTACCCCTCCACTTTCCCACCCTCAAATGTGAATTCTCAATTCCTTTTTAAAAGCTCCAATCACCATGTAGCATCAAAATGTTCTCAAAATCATAGCTGGTTTCATACTGTATCTACTTAAAATAGAAGCCTCCAGGCAACTGATTTCAACTCCAAATCAGTATTATCAATCTGGGGTTAACTTGACTTTTTAAAATTAAATTATTAGTTAGCATCACTATTTTGAACCAAAATTGTTTGTTTTACAAAAGCATACCTAGCACCTTTCTTGAAATCCATTACCCTCAACTGAGACATCAAGACATTCAGGCAGGTAGTATGTCTCACCATCATTCTGAGGTGTAAAGTACGTAATTTGTCAGCAACAATTGTTAAAGTAGAAAACTTAATGTGACCCACTTAAAAAAAACACACACACTAGTGCCCTTTTAATGTCATCCCTGATAGCATCACTATTACTCAAATTCCAATACGATTTCCTAAATGTGAGAGGAAGGAGGGGAGCTACCAGTTCATCTTGAAATAATATATTTGTAATATGTGCCTATGACTGACATTCCATTGAGAGTTGGAATGATTTTTAATTTATTCCTGAGCAGGAAAAAAAAAGGAACGAAGGAAGGAAGGCAGGAAGGAAGGGAGGAAGGGAGGCAGGGAGGATGGAAAGAGGATTATCAAAACCTGGGAAGGCCTCTGATTGTGTACCCCATTTGTATATGCCATATGCCATGTAGATGATGACAGAAAACAACTGATAGAAAAGTGAGCCTCACTAGCTCTTTTATACATGCTTTCATTCAGGGGAAAATGTATTTTTTCACATAGCTTTTTTAAGATTCCAACAACTGCACAAAGCAAGGTGAGCCTATGTTGTATTTAATGAAATTGTTTATAGTTTTGAGTACATATGGGGTGGTGGTGGCTCTGAACAGATTCCAGAGAATCATCAGTTCTACATGAAGAGAGTTGCATTAAATAAGCAGCTCTACTTTAGCCAGAAAGCTATATAAAGCTGTTCCCTAAGTAGGAAATATACCTACGTGTTGCATTCACATTATACTTGCTTGGTTTAAAACAGCCCACATAGAGGTCACAAAAGTGAAAGTTATCAACCATGGTGGGTCAAAGGTGAATGTTTAACAAACATTTAAGGAATCACACCCAAAGTCTGGAATCTCTGTGGAAGTGTGAAATGGATGAAAGATTCATGTCATCTCTAACTTCCGGCCCAGCATTCTTTGCATTCACTTTTAAAAAGTCCATGTTGGTAGCAGGCCAGAGTTGAAGGAAACCTCCTTGTTTATGGCACTTCCAAGGTGAAAATGAAAAATTCTGATAAAGCTCACAGGCTTGAGGAAAATTTCAAGTGGCTTATTACCTTAGTTTTCTCTTATTTCAACACTCATTATCAGACAGAATTGAAGGACAGATTCTGTCTTTTGCTCTGCAAGCTGAATTCTATTCTGAATTCTACTCTGGAGACCATAGCTGGTGACTTGAGTATTTTACTGCTCATTTATCTGTGTAGCCCACTATTTAATGGACTCAAGATCTGCAAAGCACATTCGATGGAAGAAGTCTGTATGTCACCTGATGGGATGTGTGGGTGTGCACACATTAGACAAAGAGAAAAGTTACTCTCTGCATGCAATGAGTCAAATTATCCCAATTCTTTTGCAGAGTTTTTTTTTCCCCTTCTTCTTTCTTTTCATAGCTTGAATAATATTAAGCTGAGATTTCCGGTTCTTGGTTTTCAGTAGGATCCAACAGGTGTGGGAAAAGGGCCACATACCCATGACCAGGGCATCACTTATGAGATCTCTACCCCTCCTAATAAATATTTGTCTTATGGGTGAGGATGCCTTGTCACTGGCCATGATTTCACTGTAGGACTTCATAAAGCCGGCCATGTTAAGACCAAAATAATGTCATTTAGTGTCTAGGGGGAGGTTAAAAAGAGGATTAGAGGCAGGCAGGCAGGCAGGGTATATTAAACAAGTCCATGACTAACAGGGTGTGACAGAAAAGGGTTTTATTCTTTTCAACAAAACAATTCCCTAGGGCTGGGACCATTACTCCACAGTGCCTTTATCACCTTGGAATTTTTATGGTTATTTTTGATGAATTCACATTTTGTAAAGGCTTTTTGAAATGATGCCAGTTTTCAATTTGTAATTAAAGTCGTAAATAATCTTAATTCTGCCTTAAAAGGGTTATTGTTTCTTACTTCTTTTTATTATTGCTGCCAGGAAATATTTCAAATACCAAGCCCTGATGTGAATAGCACTTAGAACCTCTCTGAGGTCTAGTAACAACATTGTACCATGTAAATACTACACACCGGAATACCAGCTCAAGGTTTGAAAATGTGGATTGACTGATTTCAGGTTTATAAGCACTGTTTCTCCTGGGAGTGACATTTCCCCTTTTTATTGGATGGAGCAACTTTCATCATTTTAATTTCCACAAATTAGTCCATTACAGATCCACACAGGATTTTTTAAGTCTTCAGATTAAAAGGACAGGTTAAAATTTGGAAAGTAAACACAGTAACTTGTCACTAAGGACTAAGCAATGAACGTCAGAACGTCAGCCAAATCCAATTCAACCACTTGCAGGAAAAAGAGTGAACATCTAAAGCTAAATCACTGGAGAGATAATACCTCATTTTACATAAGACAAAATTAAGAGAATATTGTAATATTTGACATTAGATTATAATACTGCTCCTTGAAAGCATATCCTTGTTATCTGGATTGCCTGTTGAAGGTTGTCTGCAAATTGTTTATAAATTTGTATTCTGTAGGCTTAAGATCTGTTTTTCTTTTTAAATTAGTGCTTCAAGAATCTTTCACATAATCAAAACTACTCTTCCTTTATAAAGAGGTTGAAACACACCATGTTTGAACAATAGAAACCATTAGTAATTCCTAAAAATATCCCATTATGTTTTCATACCTACTGTCAACCTAGGTTACCCTCTTAAGCTGAATATCATATTATTGCTTACTTGTCTACATGTGAGACTTACATTCTGTCATGACCGTGACAGTTGTTATTCTCTGTGAAGGTGCTCTTCAGTCTCATGATAGATTGGCTATTACAGTAAAACCTCATACATTTGGGACAACTTGGAGGTGGAGAATGGTCAGATTTAGGGGGAAGAAACTCTCAGCAAGGTTTATTTATTTTTTTTAACAAGCACAACTTATTACTTCAAGTTTATAAGATATACATGGATAATGACAAAAAACATTAGACAATGGTCCTCCTACACAGTTAACAGTATGCAACAATGGTGTGTTATTTTAAGAATATTAAGCATCCACCTTACAACTTTATGTATATTATTAATTCACTTAGCAGTTTCTTTGCTGTTTTAAAATACAGTAACATATCCAATCCATGTCGAAGGATCATCTATTATCATCTCTTGATAATGATCATCTGTTATCAGTTTACTGGGATTCCAATTAAAGAGACTTAACTATATTTATAGAGAAAAAAATAATTTTAACAATTGACTTACAAGAGTGGGTATGTATGCCATTAAGAATATCTATTTTAAAAAAAAGAATATCTATCAAATCCTTCTGACTGGCCATTTTTCTAACTCACAGCAAAGGGGTCAAATTGTTTCCATATATGAGCCCTCAACTGGCATTGTGCTAACACCTCTCAAGGAAGAAAAAATCTCAAGTAACAAAAAGATTATAGAGCATTTCCCAACATAAAAGAGTTAAATCCCTATAAATCATGAAAGAATAAAAGATTCTAGTTAACTAGAAGCCATGGTGGTCTGAAAACCACGGCCATAGGGTTTAATCACACCATGGGGTTCAATCACTTGAAATAAGCAGTCTTCAACTTCCCTTAAATTTGTTATGAAGGGCCCTTAAATGAATCAGGTACCCATCTGAACACAAATGAAACACTCAAAAAGCCAAGGTCAGGTCAACTTATTTTCTGCCATGATCAGAAGATACTTTTTGGTCCAAAAATTTACAAACTCAGTTACTAGAAAATCCTTGAAAGGCCGTAAGCTCCTCATTTCTCAAGGTGTTAAAGCACAGCATGGTCAACCACTTGCTGGAGATTTTATGAAGTCAGGAGAATAAGTCAGGTGGGTTGGCAGGTTGATCTTTAACATTTCTTCCAAATCTGAGAGATACTATTTCTATGAACTGTGAGAGATGCACTAAGCCCTCATTGATGTCAAAGTAATTTTAGGTTCAATTCCTTTCTCAGACTTTCTTACGTAATACTTATTAAGGAACGTGGTTTTTTCTAAGCTTAAAGGGAAGAATGCTCTATACTTACCCTACCTGCTTCATCAGATGTAATTATTTTAGCCAATTGATATTTTATGAAAAAGCACTTATCTCCAGAAAGGGTTTTTGTTGTGCTGTTTTTCCCAATTCAATTTTCTTTAGCTTATTTGGACTAAATTTTGTTACTTTCCAGTTTAGGTGACTTCGACTAATTTCCTCCAATTCCTATTATACAAACCCTCCCCAGAAATTCATTATCTGGTTACATCAGTTACGAAAATCACAGCCTTGCTACTACTTCATGGACGACTTCTCTACTCAGAGTCTAAAACATGTTATACCTTGAGCAGTATGAGAATTACCAATGCCCTGCAGAAGCTCCCAGCACTGCAAGAGGAATTTAAATGTGCTTGTCCTGGCTGGATAAATTCTCTTTTAAAATTACCTTTTTCCTTGCTTGCTGATCTTTGGAAGAATGTGCCTTCACATGCTTTCTTAGGGAGCTTGGGTCTGTGTAGCGTTTGGTGCATCCTGGAATCTGACAAGCATAAGGTTTCTAAATAAGAAAGAAAGAAAGAAACAGCTGTGGTTAAATCATAAAGGTAACCGGGGAAGGTTTACTCAAAGACTACTGACTTCAGAGCATGAACTGTTACCAACTGACTGATGTGAAATGCTATGTAATACTCATGCATTTTAATTAGAAAGCCCAGTAAGTTTGCATCAAGGCAAAGAGAAGAGTAAACTTTCCAGAAACAAAGAGATGGCTTATCTTTGAAGATTTTTAAGAGACTGCTACAGAATGCACTCTTACCACGAAACCTCCTGTGGCATTTTTCAATATGGAAATTATTAGTATCTTCAGTCATACTTACAGTTATGTTCCCCTGAAAACAATCTTTGGTACTGTCAGAAATTAGGAAACACATACTCTTTAAGAGTTCAGGTATAAAGAAGCTGTAGAAAAGTCCAGAAAAGACTGGGAATGTTTCAGAAGAAACCTGATTCAGAAAGAGAGAGGGAGAAAATTAAAAGGGAAAATTAGTGGAAAGTGAGTAAAAGACAGTAGGTTTCAAACAACAGACACATGAAAAATCAGCCAGAGAAACATTAATATTATTAGTAGTAGAGGAGTCCTGGTGTTAAGGCTGGCTTAGGTGAATAGGCCCTTGGCTGAGCATGATGAGAACACAAGTTTTGGCTGCTCCAACTCCCCCATACGCCTGAGAGATGTAAGGTGTGGAGCCTAAGGCAGAGTCTAGAATCTTTTTTATTTTCGTGTCCCCGGTGATTGGTAGATGCTAATTAGTAATGATGAATTTATGAATGAGAGCACTACACAATGATTCAAATTTTAGCAACTATTCCTATTGTAACAACGAAATTCAAACCAAAGGTTTGGGAATACGGCTTTTAAGCTGTAGAATAAATAAAAACCTGCTTATCCTAAGAACTGAAAACAATCACAAGATTAACTGTGTTTATAAGATGTATTAACTGTCACTCATCTATTTAGTATCTCATCAGGTGACATATTAAAGCTATGCCTGCATGAGGTGAAATGTAAGGAAGAGAATTAAAACCCTGTCTCTACCATAGAATTCTTTCTTTAGAAACCTGCTATTCTGTTGACCTAACCCCCCTGAAAAATCAGTTTTTTTTCCTTACTGTTTATATTTTGTTCCTGTTTTCATGCACTTGCTTGTCATTTTGTAGGCCAACATATATGTGGATTATATTATTTGCCCTGCAGGAAGCCATATATGTGATTCACTTTTTTTGCTGCTACTGTTACCATTTTTGATTCCAAGAACAAGGTAAAGTCATGAATATATAATTTAGTTTGATACTCCCAATTTGAATTCTAAGTTTGATTATCTGATGTGTTTGTTCATCGACTGATTGATTGAATGAGTAAATCACCCAGCAACTCTTTTGCTCCTGTAACAAGCTGGACACTGTGTTACATATCAGGGATCTAACAATGAACAGTGGATGAACCAGCCTCTCAATATGTCACAGTTTCTGCAAAATGATGAGCCAATTATGGGCTGAAGTCACTTGCCAAGGAAGTTTCCATTGGGTAAACAAAGGTTTCCTTTAACCTGGGAATCTTTTCTGGGTTCACACAGCTTTCTTGCCCTAGTCTTCCCTGTCCTGCCCTGGTGTTATGGGGGCAATTAGCCAACATCTTTATTGGCAGTCATGCTGTGACCACATAAGCTCATGTTTTGAGCATTAGAGATGTTGCATGTAAAAATCTCTGGGAATATTAACGTGTTATATAAATCGATGACATAATTATCACAGTAGTCACCATTACTTGGGTTAGAAAGATAAGAAATGGGTAATGTCATTTTGTATTTGATTTTGAGACGTCACTCTCTCCCCTGCTATCAGCCACCTGGGATCAGTATGCCAAAAGAGCAACATCAGGGAATGGTCTAAGTGGTACTGATATGCTGGTCATTTTAACTCAGATTACCTGAGCTTTAAATGGCATGTTACACTTCATCAAACTATATTCTTCATTATTTTCCATTTGTACTATAAAACTATTTCCCCTGTTGAGACATTAAGATTCTAATAGAGAAGTGAATTAATAACACTTTTCAGGGTTAGAATTATGAACTCAGTAATTTTTATGGGGAAATCATTTTCCTATAAGTAAAGAATCCATTTAATTGAAGAAATACTTTATCCAAAATTCTGACAGCATTAGCGTAAGGAGTACTTAATGAAAGGGAATGGGGACCTAAATTTAAATAATAAATTCTACAAGCAACTACAGTTTCCTTCTTTAAATAAATGTTTAATTTCTTAAAATTGTAAAAGATTTTTAAAAGAACTTACCAATTTGTTAAATGCAATAAAAATTTAAACAGAAGGTAGTTTGGACTTCAAAGGAAAAATGATGGTTTTAAAAGATTTAATAGAGAAATAATTTTAAAAAATAAAAACAGCTAAGTTTTAAAAGCTACTGCATTGAACTTAATCATGAAATTATTATCTTAGGTAGCTTTCCTCAAAAGTTTTTAAAAGGGATATATATTTTTTAATTCAAAATGATTTTAGAAAATGCTCTTAGTTTGATTAGCTAAAATTAGCTCCAAGCAAAGAAGGGTATTGTAGAGCCATAACACTTAGCCTTACAATAGTTCTTTCAAACTATACATAACTAGCTAGAGAAGAAGCAATTTCTCAAGACAATCTTGTCTCATGAATGTTCATTCTTCCATGATAAAGTTTAATGACAAATTGGAAAATTTATTAGATTCTACCAAGACCATTTTAGACATATAAAATCGGGCATTTTAACATAATTCATTCTTTTTTTTCCTTCTTCTACCTTTAAAAAATACTGCTATTCACCAAATTTATTCACTTAATATTCCATTCTTTTGGTCCTAAAATCACTGAATTCAATTCAGCTATAGCAGAAAGGGTCCATCTTACACCCATATCACTCTAATTATATTTCAGATATTTACTAGGCAAACCATCCCATTTATATATATAATAGGAGGTAATTCTGTTTAGGAAGGTTATGTGACATATAGCTAAAATGACTTCTATTAGTATGACTAATAGAGACTAATATAAAATTTAATAAATATGTCAGCTATAACATCAGAAGAATCTTAAATATGTATGAGAAGGTGTGTAGAAATAACAGTATCTTTTAAAAATTTCAATTCTGGTGTAGTTTAATAATTGACATCAGAAAGTTAACACTGAAAAAGTACTGTCATGAATACATTACTTGCAAGAACGTGGGATAAGAGATCTGTGATGTGTATAATACATTTATCCTGAGGGCTTTGTTAAGTGAACTAAAATTACATATAATCTACCTGGCCTCATGTAAAGAAAATGGCATCAAAACCTGAGAAATGCAAAGGAAGACAATCAACATAATTTAGAAAACAGAAGACAGAGTCAAGGAAAGGGCATTAGCAAATGAACAAAATGTTTCATCACTAAGAGAGTTAAGGTTTATGTCAATGGATATGTGGCTGTTAACACATAGGAAGCGTGATGAAACTGAACCCTTTGGGAAAGATTTGCTGATTCTTTTTAGATCACTTGAAGGTGAAAATACCAGGTGGTTTCTAAAGCAAAAGGCTAGATTCACTTTCAAAAATCATGCCAGTCTCAAAGTTCTTATGTCAAGAAGAAAAGAACCAGGGTAAGAAAAAAAGTGCTTCCTATTTCTAACAATAGCGTATCTTATCTATCTGAGTATATCTTGATATTTGAACACTTACTTCAATGTCCAATCTCTAGGAGTCATTCTCTGTACTAAAATCTACTATACGACAGCCCCTAAAGTGCCTTTGCTTTGTATACAGAGGTAATCAAGGAACCCCCTTTGTCCCAGGCAGCTGTAATACTTAGGATTACTTGTGACTACAGAAAAATGGAAAAGAAAGAACCAAACAGGGCCCCTTCTGGCTCTTTACCAGGTTTCACTGCTGCCCTTGGCACTCTCCCTATAACCTGCAGGTCATAAAGCAAACACCTTCACCGTCCCACTGTCAAACGGGCACTTCCGCACACCGGGGCTTGGGGCTGGAAGCTGGAAAGCTCCTGCCGTTCTTACAGTGTCCAGATGTGTCCTCTGGTGCTTGGCGCGGTCACTGGAGTTACTGAACGCCTTCTGACAGCCCGGATGCTGGCACAAATACGGCTTTTCGCCTGTGTGGCTCCGCAAATGAATCTTGAGATTTTCGAGCCTTGAGAAGGCCTTCTTGCAACCTTCAAACTGCAAAAAAGAAAACAATTTTTGGTTGTTGAGAAGGACCTTGAATGTTTGGGGCTGGGGGACAGGCAAAATAAATGTCCTTAGTTTGTACTTAGCCTAAAACAAAAAAATAAAATGAAATCCAAACAGTAACAATATTACTTCTAAAAAGATCCGTATGTTTATGTGAACTGCATTTTTCCACTGAATATACATGCCACTTTCCATACCAGATTTGGGTCCCAAATTGATTTCTGTGATTACTTATGTCAGAGAAAATTTGCTGTGAGCCATCTGGCTCAGTTAATAAAAATACAGTAATGCGTGCCTTAAAGGTTTGTTAAAAAATTAACACACTTTTCCATTTCCAAATTGGTCTAAATTGAAAGAATCAGAAAGGAAGAAACTTTTTACAACTAATAAACTAACAAAAAAAGAGTGATGTATGAGAAAAAAAAGTAAATAGAATATCCAAGAGTGAGAGATGAAAAGGACATGTGTCTGCTGAATCATTAAGATCATAAACTTTCTTAACTCTACCTTTAAGTGGTTTTCAACTCCCAAGAGTGACCCTGTTAATATACAGGGTGATGCCAAGCCTAATGAGATAAAGTTTTTAACATGCTTTTAAAAAGGAACTGGAAGACAATTCATTTACTGCTAAATCATATTCCAAATAAAGTTATAGTTTTATTTATTTCTATTTTTTAAGAAATTTTGTTTCCTGGTTCTTAAAGAGAAGAGCTTAAAATAAAAAGTTGAAGATCTCAAGAAATGCTTCATTGGTTTGTCAATAATATTTATTGATGGTAATATTTACTTACTGTCTTCTGTGGGCAAAATATCAGCTACTATTAGAGGGTCAAAGTGATTTCAATCCTTGAAGTGACAATCTAATAGAAAATGTGTTAGAGAAAGCCTATACATGAAGCATAAATGTGAGATGGGCATTTATCCTTTAACTTTCTCTTTGATGCTAAGCCCCAGAATATTATGTCCTTTTGACAATTTTAATGCCATTAGAGTTCCCAATGCAAGGAAAACTGCAATTAAAAAACTATCAGGGACTTCCCTGGTGGTCCAGTGGCTAAGCCTCTGTGCTTCCAATGCAGCGGGTGTGGGTTTGATCCCTGGTCAGGGAACCAAGATCCCACATGCTGTGGAGCATGGCCAAAAGAAAAAAAACCCCAAACTATCAGAACAAAACATAGTATGTTTACTGCAATTAAGAATACTGCAATTAAGAAACCTCACTCCTTAGAGAGGAATGTGGGGCTGGTGGGGAGAACAGAAGTAAAGAAGGGTAAATTGAAGATGGTTTTCATTAAAAATTAGCAGGTATAACTTAAGCTTACTACAAGAAATGCTATAAAATTCCTTGGTTCTCTTACTTATTATAACAGATGAGTACACTGTCCATGAAGGGATGACCCAGAGCTGGCCAGGTTTTGGTTATTTGAATTTTCACCTTTAAGTAAAGGATGAACTAAGGAGGAAGAATAATCAAACATGTCACAACTCCATCTATTTAAGTTGTCCAGATTTTGCATGCTGGAGTATTTTAGGAAATTTATGAAAGTTGCACTTATTTTTGATTGAGAGTTATACATGTTTCACAGACATATGTTGGTTTATTTCAATTTTGATATTTTGCTTAAAATAATTTTGGTGCTTTCCTGATTTCTATTTCACATAAAAATAAATTTAGCTCGAACAGAAGATGATTGCTGACGAAGAGTGAAAGGCATATACTGTTATATTGCTAGAGGGAGAGGGAAATTAAGTGGTTTAGTTCTTCAGGTTTTCAAATGGGTCTCAAATTTGAGAATAAAAGGGATCAAAGATAACCCCCTAATTCGTGGCTAAGAGGCCTCTGCCAACCAAACCTCTGTTTTTAAGGTTCACTCTGAATGATAACTCAGTGCAAACTTCTGGAGCTCAGTTCATTTGTGTTAGAATCACCTGGTAGAGCACACTTAGGTCTAAAATGAGCTTGTGGTTTTGGACGCATCAAGCCTGTAGCCTAGTTCCTAGCAAGGCTGTTTTGTAGGGTGGGCACCATTCTGGGGCCAGCTCCAGGGGTGCATACCCAGACCTGAGTAGGCCCCAACACCCACTCCCTTCTATAGTCACCCTAGCTCTTGGTCAGAGAGAAGGCTGCATTGTCTCAGCACCAACATGGGAGTGGAGAACGACTTTAGAATATATTAATGAGGTTTCTGTGAGCACCAGACAGATAAGACCCCTGGATCTACCACAGAGTGATTAGAGGGGATCCCAAACATGTCCTAGAACTAATTCCAACTGCCCACTTCATCAGATGTAAACTGAATGTAGATTAGCATTTCTAAGGTCTCTCCAGTTAAATGTCCATGTACATGTCCAGTTGAACTCAGTTAATTGCTAGTGTTATTGTTAACAGAAGTAATGATCAAAGACCAAAGAGCTTGCTACATTCCAAGCAAATCAGTGAAAAGTAAACTATAGCTCAGAACATCCTGACCATTTTTTAAAAATAGCAAAGATGGAATTCCCTGGTGGCTCAGTGGTTGAGAGTCTGCCTACCAATGCAGGGGACACAGGTTCGTGCCCTGGTCCGGGAAGGTCCCACATGCTGCGGAGCAGCTGGGCCCGTGAGCCATGGCTGCTGAGCCTGCGCGTTCGGAGCCTGTGCTCTGCTACGGGAGAGGCCACAACAGTGAGAGGCCCGCGTACCACAAATAAATAAATAAACAAAAATAAAAATAGCAAAGATGGAGGAAAATATGAGCACCCAGACTGAAAATGACAACAAAAAGATTATCAGTAAAATCATGAAAATCCAACTGATCTCAGATGTTTCCTCTGTAACAAGAAAGGCCAGAAGACAACAGTATTTGTAGTACTTGTACTAGCATTATACAGTTTTCAGGAGAAAAGATTAAGAGTGAAGGGATTTGACCACACTGAGTTGTATGAATAAAGGCAAGAACAAGGCAACCCCATGTATTCAGGGGCTCATAATAAAACATCAACCACTCACTCTTGTTGAAGAAATTCACTGGGAAGAAACCATGAACGCCAAACCAATAAAATCCAGCATGGAAGGACTGACAAATGGCTCCATGGGGGTGCGCCTAACACCCAACCCATCACAGGAGTATGCAGAGAATCACACCTGATTGAACATGTGTGCCACACTAATAATTCTGCAAGAAGAGAAATTAGGTGCTGTTCATTTCTCTAAAGGTGTCTGGATGAAACTTGAAAGCAAATGATTTCATAATGAATCATTATCATTCATTATGGGAATAAACCTGTAATTCAACACAAGAATTTCCTCTCCCTCAGGAAATTTTACCCCAAGGTTTATAAGTTCAATTAAATGCCAATGCATTAAAAATAAACTAACATTTAGGTAGAACTACACAAGAGTGTTACAAAATACAGCTAAACTGGATGTTTTGGGTGTCTGAGTAAATGGATGCTTTGTTTTCTACTTATATTTCTTCATGTTTTCAAAATCTTTCAAAATGAGTCTCACCTTGTAAAGGAACATCTAAACATAAAGGTAAGCCGGAATCATAGAAGGAGAGTTTCCTTGAATTTGACCCACATACTTTCTCATCAAGATTCCTGAAGTGCAAAGTCTACCATGAGATCTAAGGTCCAAATTGTCACCTGACTGCTTGTGTCATTGCCATGAACCAACCTCTACACAAAAATTGACCAATATCTTAGTCCCTGGTCATCCGCTTCCTGGACTGCCTACAGAGCCAGGAACCTAAGGCCCAGTGACACACAGCTGGGTCATCAGGCCTGAAGTTGCCCGTGGTTCAAACACAAGCCATATATAGGAAGATGAGAGAAAAACAACAAATAAACAAACTCTCAGAATCCAAGGGGGTAGCAGAAGGAGGAAAAGTGGAACAAAAAGAGAGACAAATGCAGAATGGTAATACGAGAGGGAGTGGTGGTGGGAAATGGGTCTGGTACCCATTAGTAATTTTACCTAAATAGCATTCTTTTTTTTCCCCTGACCAATACAGAGTAAGCCCTATGAGCATGGCACTATGTGTTAAGGAACGAGAGGAACAAGATAAACTCAAATTTTACTCATGGGAAGATGGAAGCAAGATCAATGCATATGGCTGGACAGGTCACACAATGGTGAACCTTGAGCAATGACTCTCAAAGACACGGTGTGTGGACCAGCAGCATCGGCATACCCTTGGGAACTTGTCAGAAACACAAATTCTCTGGCCCAACCCCAGACTTACAGAACAGAAACCTGGGGGTGCGGGCCCAGACATCTGAGTGTTAAGGGGCCCTCCAGGAGATTCGGATGCTACAGTGTGAGTTTGGAATGCCATTCATTTTGTAATCACTGTTGATGTTCTTAAGAAAATCTCCTGACAGAAGTAAAGTGTCTTGCAGAATTCACTCATTTCTAATTGGGACAAGAGTCATATGGGCTTGCAGCAGCCCTGGACTGAAAGGAAACATCTTCATCCCAGGATAAAGCAGGGTTATCTCCATTTGCACTGCAAATGAGACAAAATTCCAGAATGCCAATGTCATACTAGAGATTCTTTAAACTCCTGATTATTTAATCTGTTGCCAAGCAGATGTCTAGTTCTGAAACAGGTATGCCTAACAGTTCCCTCAGTGGCCTCCTGACCAACAAAACACCCCATGTTTCTAGCGCCTACTACATTTCACCGTTGAGGAAAAAGCACTGACGGGGAGTCATCATTTTCCAATCGCACATTTCAGTGGCTTTACAGACACATGTAAGAACAACGCATGAAACTGTAAGCAACAGAATTTTAAACCTCATGGGGTTTTTGAAAATACTGCATTGTATGAAGCCTCACTCTGCGAAAAATCTCTTTAACTCTGAGGCTGTTTTCAAGTAACAAACCTTAATTAAAAAGTATAAGTTACCTCAAATCCAGAGACCCTTAGCTTGCACCAGTTTGTTAATTTAGGAGATTATTTCATATTTAAAGGCTCACAACTGGTCTGTAATCACCATCTCT